AAAATTGGACGGTGAAGATATTTTCGCACAAATCACTTTCTTCGGTTTACACTTTACCACTTGAGAGATTTTCACTCATATACAATCAAAAAACTACCTTCACGGATTTTTTCAACGGAAAGTTTTGGAAAGGCATTATTTTTCAAATATAGGAATGCAGTTTCGTTGACTCTAACCAACTGTTTGATGTAATTCTTAACAACACCACATTTGATATGTAAATCGGGAAGCATGATTTTATTAAGCGCTATCAAGGGCTCGTGAACTATATTGTATTGACCAATCGATTGTTCCTTTCTTTTTGGCCAATAAAGAGACGCCATTGTTCGGGTTTATAGTCAGTAATTCCCATTTCATTCATCAAACCTGCAACATCAATGCAATACGCCTGAGTGCCATCTTCCGATAACTTGAAATATGGCATAAACGGCCGTAGGCCGTTATTTTTACTCCTGGTGCTAAAACATTCGCGCTTTTCAGTTCTGATGCCAAAATCATTGCGTTGTTATGGAAGAGATTTACAGCCCTATTCTAATAAAACCTCACAACTGAGTTGTGAGCAAAACTTTGTGAGGTCTATTTTGTGAGGTTATTCTAGCCCACACCTCACAAGAAAAAAGCTCAACAAAATCACCACACGAGGTGAAAAGCATTTTGCTGTCTAACAGCTGTTTCTTAAATAAAATAAATACAAAAGATGGATGCTGAACAACAGGAAAAGTAAATATTTTTGCAATTTGTTTATTTTTTTGATAATTACTGATTTTATTTATTTTCTAGGCGAATTTAAAAAGAAATAACAAAGCAGGAGTAGCTCCAGTACTTCACACAGTTTGCAATCCACAACTTGGAGCAAAAGCTTGTATGGAAATGAAATCTTATGCCTGCTCTAACTCTTCCGAAACTGCCGCAAAAACAAACAATAACTCCGCCATTACTGAATATACTTTTAGTTAAAAAAAAAAACTTAACACAGACACTGATAGCGAACGAAAATTAACACAACATTATTCAATTGCTCAATAAAAATCGGCTATTTTTCTCTTGTGAGGATCTCATTCGTACATCATAAATTTCCTGACAATTGTGAGCGTATGAGCTTTTGAATTTACGCCAGCATAGGGATAACCTCACAATAGTCAGAAACCTCACAATAGTGAGTGTGGTAATTTTTGTGAGGGCAACAGAATAGGGCTGTTAATTTACGCACCATGCTGTTTAGGCGTTCTTGGGATATGAAAGACGGTAAATTGTTTTCAATCGGAATGTAATCAGATCCATCATTAAGTGGTAATGGCGTTGCCATAGACTGTTTGCAATCATAGACAGTTTCGAGTTCGGATGGATGATTTGGAACTTGTAGTGCATCGCTATGTGCAACAGGTAAATGAGCGCTCGGTACACCTTTGTAGACGACACAAGACCGATCTATTGAATTAAATAATTTTGAGTATATGTACGTACATAAATATGCATATATCGATGGCTGAGTGGAAGATCGACCTATCTCAGCTGCCGATTTAAAAACGCCCTATCTCAGCACATTTTCAATGTATTTTGAGATAGGGCGTTCTTCAACAAAATTCTGAGATAGGATGTTTATCAATAAAATTCTGAAATAGTGCGTTCTTCAATCAAATTCAGAAGTA